TGCTCTGCCTGTCCCATAGAGTTCCGTTCTGTGCCAAAAGGGAACAAAGCGAAGCTGTGTGAGTGTAGAGTAGAGAGTAGAGAACAAGCTTAAGGGATGAATGAAGTGTATAGCCAAGAGACAGTTTTAAGAATATTGTTATGAGTCAGAGAGAGAATGAGGCTTCAGTCATGCCAGCCAAATGTCCCCCTGTGGTTACACAACTTTTAATCTCGTTCCTGTCATGCTTTGCAGTCATGTGGCATTTATTCCAGGATATGCATCCCAATATGCTTTTGGGCTACTGAATAATTTCCTTCCAATTCAATAAGCACCTAGAACTTCTTGTCAAGACTGCTTGAAATAAGTTAACCGACACATTGATACAAACGCCACAGAAAAAAATGTTAAAATTAAAAACATTTTAAAATGACGTGCATGGTGACTGTAGTTCAAAAAAGGTTGCAATAAGATCATTCACACACACAGCAAGGCAACATTTTTTAGAAAAGACCTGCAACGAAAAAAGTGGAAGCTTCTGGTCAAGTGAGAAATGATCTGCAGTTAACACAGTTGCCAGGTAACCAATTCGCTAATGGCTGTGCATCATGTGACAGCAAATTTATGATATGAACTCAGTAGGGGATAGGAAGGCAACATTTGACTGGTGTGACCACAGCCTGAGAGAGTGTTGTGGGGTGCAGTGAGAAAAGCAGAACTGAGGGGTGGGGTAGGAAGCTTGAGGTGAGATAGGAAGGCAACATTTGACTGGTGTGAGCACAGCCTGAGAGAGTGGGGTGGAGTGAGAAAAGGAGAACTGAGGGGTGGGGTGGGAAGCTTGAGGTAATTTTTGTCAAATGTTTTCTGCAACAAGCATACCAATGATCTCCTGCCCAGATATATTGAAAGTATAATAATCATCATCCAAATGATTTGAGCTGCAGTCTGAGGTATGAATGTTCTTAAAGCTTAGGGGTCTTATCTCTCCTTCTGATGGGATGGGATGCTTGTTGTATGTGCTCCAACACCACTAGGTGGTGTAGTAGAGAAAGCTCGGTTTTTTAACAGGGACATGTGGTTTTTCATTTCATGTGAAAATAGGCTAGGTTCTGTATTAATCATATCTTGGATGCTTGGTTGAACAGGAAGAGTGTAGGAACCTGAGGAATACAGCATCAGTTGCTGAACTAGTTATTTTATGTTCGTAATAAATGTATAGTTATCAAAAAGGAGAGAACGGATTAAAAGGAGATGAATTTGTCAATGCACTACTTTGTTGAAATGAATGTGATTCATTAAGGTTGTGTGAATTAGCCAATTATTCTGTACTTAAAATGCTGCAGCCACAAGAACGGTGCATAATTTCTGTTTTTCCTCCTTAAGACTAGGCCTGTTCAGTACAGGAAGAGTTGGGAACTTCAGGAGAAATTGAAAATACCCAATCTTTCCTTAGGCATTGGCCAGCACTTTCTCTCTGGTCAAAGAGGTTGTCTACAGGTTTTCCAGCCCATTTTCACTATACACAGTATGTGACAAAACTTTACTTCAGTGTGTGAAGTACTAGGAGACAGAAAATATATGCATAAACTCAGAGAGGAACTAATATGTTTATAATTTCTTCCACAGAGCTGTTCTCCACATGTTGCAAGTAGAAAGTAGCAAGTGGTCTTTCCTCAGCTATATATCTTGCCTTTATAATGCTTTGTTTTGTGATTGATTGTTGGAAGGTTAACATGTTTGTTTGCAAGTCTAATTGTTAATGCATGGGTCTTTGAAGAAATCCCGTTGTGGGAAGGAAAATTAAATTGCCTAAGGTTTAATGTGATCCCGAGGAATAAGAAGATGTCATGGATAACAGAAACAACCAAAAATGGATGAGTGGAAAAGGAGAACCAAGACACTTGTTCACTGAGAAACATTTTCAACCTGAGATTTACCAAGGGTGTGACATGGCTGAGAGAGATCTGTACTCTGTTGGCAGAGAGGAGAAGAAACCTATGGGCCACAGATAGTTAAAAAAAGAGGGTGTGAATTATGAGACTGCAAACTATTCCACTGAAACAATTAAAAGAAAATGTTTCTGAGTCATAGAGTGGAGATAGTATTTTGGATGGAAGAAAGAAAAGGAAGACGTAAGGGAAGGGTAATTCAGGAAGACCTGCAAGAGACTAGATGGAGAAAGATAAAAGGGGAACCAATGAAGTCTGTGAGTAAGTCTATACTTACCAAAATATGTGCTGTACTGTGTGTGACAATAAGACTGACTAATTAACTGATATAGTATGATACTGAGGATATGCAGTTGATTTTTAAAACTAACTGTTTAAAATATTTACATCCAACTTTCAAAAAATTCTATCCCAACTTTCCATTTCAGCGTTCAAGGTACGAATGCATGTGTTGCCTTCCAAAGGCATTTAGCTTTTATTAATATTCCAATCAAATGCTTCCAATGACACTCATAGAGTTCCTTCCTCCTTTTTTGAAGCTGGAGAAATTTGATGTTCATACCAGGGGAAGGAAAATATGGTACAGCAGTGGTCCCCAACCTTGGGCCTCCAGATGTTCTTGGACTACAACTCCCAGAAGCCTTCACCACCACCTCTGCTGGTCAAGATTTCTGAGAGATGAAGTCCAAGAACATCTGGAGGCCCAAGGTTGGGGAACACTGCCGTAGAGGATGTCCTCAGGCAGCCAGCAGAGCAATTTTCCCATGAGTTACTGCGATTGCAAATCGCATCACTCCTCACAGGAAGCTCACACAATCTTCATCCTTCCCACTGTGGTGCAGAATAAGGAGAGGGGTTCAACCTGCTGATCAAGAGTCATTGGCTTGTGTTTCTGATTAAATGGGAGAACATGGCTGAGCTGCAGATGTCGCGGGTGGGAATGGGATTGGGAACACAGAAGCTCCTAGTAGCAAAACCATGATAGCTGTGTGGGCACAAAACAAATCTGCCTCCATACCGAGGTGATACATTTACAGACCAAAACAAAAGGTAGAAGGATCATGCAGAGGCACACAAAAATCTACAAGCTTTCAAAAGTATATGCTCTTCATCAGGCAAGATGTTAAAATAAGGGTGGGGAGGCAGTGAAAAAGGGGAAAGACTGATTTCATGTCCTTGTTGGCTGCATATTGTTTCAGGATGTAATGGGAGAGGGATACTGCAGACAAAATGCCCCATCTGGTAATATGCAGGTGTAGGTGTCATCCAGTCTAGCCCATTACAAACTGGAAAGTTAGAAACTTTAAATCCCTCATATCATTACCCCACAGTGTCAAAGCTTCACCCATCTTATCTGGGCACATGGGCTTCTTGGTCAGAGCCACCATCTGGTCTTTATGTACTCTACTTAATCTTAAACAATGAGTTAGATTGTACTTTTTTTAAAAAGTGAATGTAGCCAAATTACACAGATCTACTACCTGTTTTTGCTTGATAGTGTTCAGTCTTTGGGAGTATAATTGTCTCCCGCCTTGGTTAATCAAACTGCCATGCTGTTAAATTAGGTATCCGCAAAGTCACAAATGAAAACAGCGGTAGACAGGTTGGCATGAAACGAATTCTAAACTCCAAACTGAGTTGCTATGGCCAGATCAGGTTCCCTTGTTCTTCTGAGTTGTTGCTGAGTTTTGATGTGGGATTCATTTGTAAAGTTCAGGAGCACTTAAAGACTTTTTAAATGTGTGTGTGTGTGTGTGTGTGTGTGTGTGTGTGTGTGTGTGTGTGTGTGTGTTTGTTTGTTTGTTTGTTTGTTTGTTTGTTTGTTTCTTTTTGTTTCTTTGCTTGCTTGGTTCATGCAATGCAATGCAAGGGTGGCACTTCCCATGTACAGAACCTGGCCACTCTAGGAGTTAAGTGTGATATTATCCTCCAGTTCATCTGAGGGGAATACTTTGTTTAGAAGGATGCAGAGCATGGAAAAGCCATGTGGCACACAGATCTCTATTTTTCTACCAGATAGAGACTACCAAAGAAATAACAATGAACAACTGAGGTCATGGTGCTTTTGCTGCCACTCACAGCCCATGCTGCTTGATATGGATAGCCTGTTTTATGGTGGAGCTCATAGTTAAGTTGCTCAAGTTTGGGTGCTCACTTGAAAATTCATTGTACCTTTTCACCTGTGCAAGTAGGTAGTTTGGTGGGTTGGTTATTTATTTATTTATTTATTTATTTATTTATTTTTTTACTTACTTACTTACTTACTTACTTACTTACTTACTTACTTACTTACTTATTTTTAATGTAAATGGTACTGTATGTATTTTGATCATTTCATATAGAAAGGGAAATCTTTTGTAAGGTTCACAGGAAAGTTAATGATGATGAGGGGAAATAAGGTCCTAGATTTTCTTTTTTTCCTGCAAAATAAATGGGCCCTTGATGAGCAGCTGGCAATTATGGCTTAGAAGACAAGGCATTAAACAACAATGAGCAAAAGTAAAGGGGCCTAGAATTTCAATCAGGTATATCTGGTGTGTGTTTGTGTGTGTGTTGTTTTCCTTAGTAATACCTGTAATACGTATATTTTTGTTTAGTTTGCTTTTCCATCTTCCCTTGCAAATTAAGCATTTGCCTTAGGTTTCCTAATAGTAGCCTAGAAGTTGAATGTTGTAATCATATTGAAAATAATAATTAAATAATATTTGAAACAATTGGCATACTGTCCCTGATGTTGCTAAATATAAATTTCTGCATGCCTAATCTTTAGAGGGAAGTAACTCTGCCATAGAAATGATAACTTGCATAGTCTTCATTTTATAAAATAATCCTCTTTAAGCAGCTGATTTTCTTTTAATTATGTTAATCCTTATTAAGAGACTATAATTCTGCTGGTAATGCACAGGAAAGCTGCATCGTAGACAAATGCATAAAAGAGCTTGCAGCTAGCATTAAAGTGGAAATATTATGCAAATACATGACAGTACAGTGCTTTCTTTGCCTTCATAATCTTTATTTATTTGAACAGAATCAAACTGCATATTAATCTGTTCATACCTGCTTCTTTTTTAGGTCCTGAAAAAATTGAATTCAAATGTCCTCTGAATCATGTTAAATGCATTGGCACAAACAGATGTATTCACCTGTCTCAACTCTGCAATGGCGTGTATGACTGTCCTGATGGATATGATGAAGGCGTACATTGTAGGGGTAAGTGAATTTTAAAGATTAGGGGATGCCTATAACCAACATTCCCTCTAATTTTCAGCCCTGCTGGGTGGGGCTCTGCCCCATGTGCATGCCTTTGCTCCCTACATGACTCCCCCGCTGTGCAGGTTTCCATCAGAACCGGAACCAAGGGGGCTGAAAATTATCACTGTGGGTGATCGGAGGAGGAGGATCCCTGCACCGGGGGGGGGGAGAGAAGCATACATATATGCAGATAAGCACTTTAGAGAGAACCCTGCCTATAAGAATTTAAACAAAACAATTTTCAAGTTTGAATGCGCACCAAGCCAAAAGTCTTTCATTGATGCTGTCATGTCTTCTCTGTTCAATTTGTTGTAGTAAAATCCCTGCATAGCATTTTCCAGTTCAGCCAGAATTCTCCTACAGTTACCTCTGCACTACATACCTCTGGTGGCCCCTACTTCTTTTTCCATCTATTCCACGTCTGTCTTCTTTTCCCACTCTATTAATTTCCACTATTTTATGAACACTATCTTGCTGATTTCTGCTCCTCCCCTTCTGTGTTCGCTCTCACTTTCTCAACATGTGAGCCTTTAAGGACCCCTGCAAATTCCTCCTTTGGTGCCTTCCTTTCAACTTTGATCTTTCTCCAATCCAATCCTAATCAATTCTTAAGATATTGTCAGTGTTACATAAACTGATTGCATTATTAAAAAGGCCCTTCCTCCAGTCCATTGCTGACATAGATGCTGAACACAATCTGTATAAAGGCATTCTAGTATATTTTGAACAAATGTTGAACACTGCTTTCCTCCAGTCCATTGCTGACATAGATGCTGAACACAATCTGTATAAAGGCATTCACCACCTCTGCATTCTAGTATATTTTGAGCAAATGTCGAACACTGCATATGATAACAAATGCATTGTAATTTCTCAGGTTGCATTTCATGGTTAAGAATTTGGTTGATACAATATGAAAAAAATGATTTATCGTGGTATTTTCATATGTTCTAACTTGGTATTTGTCAGACTTGACGCATATCTTGTCCTAAGCTGGGGTTGTTTTTTTTTAATGGTCAAAGTATAGCATAAAAATAAGAACAGGATAAGATTCAGTTGATTGATTCATTTTGCATCTCTAAGAACTAATGTATTATGAATGACAGTAAATAAACATGAACTATTCATGGTAAAGATTAGTATTCTGACAACTGCCAAAGGAAAATTATGATATGAACCTGTAATTTTGTTATAAAAAGTAGTTCTTTTATTTTGTAATATTTTCCATTCACATTTGTTAATACTTTTAAATGAATTAATGAGCATGACTATTCACCTTGTGATGTATGTGTTTGCTAACTTAAAAGGCAATCTCTGTACTAATATTCATTATTTAAATATAAATGCATTATTTATATATAAATATTCATAAACCAATATTTGTAGAAAGTTGTAATTAGAGTAGGCCCATTGAGTATTGGAACTTACATAGGTGTTTACTCACTAAATTTCTAGTACTTCAATGGTGCTACTCTAAATTCAAATTGCTACTGAATTTTAGCCATTGTGTGTGAATCTGGCAGAAGAATGACACTCAAAATGGTGTACAACACAAAGAAAACAACAAGCTTATCATTTACTGTTGATCAGTATTTGCATAATGCAATAAAGCAATTTTTAAATTATGAAAACTGGCTGTGCAAATTTACTTATGGACCACAGCTTTGCAGTCAAACTGTCAGTCTCTTTCTTAAAAGAAAATCTTGAAAATCTTTTTCATGATTGCCAGTTGTTTTCAAGACAAAAACAGTGCTACTGCATTTTATGTCTTTTCCAAAAAAAAGCTGTTTGTGGAGCCTTTCCACTTAGAATACACTCTTCAAGTACACCTGTGTTGACAGTGCAGGAAAGCAGGTTGACTCTTGCATGAACAAATAACTATTAAATGCAAGATAGACGAAGACAAAAGGATTCTACCCACCCAGTTCACAACTGAACAAAGTGAAGCATGTCCCTGTTTATCTCCCAACGTCCACTTGCCAAATAATCAAAGCTAACATGCATGAGCAGGACAAATGTGTACTTAAGGAATGTTTGCTTCCATGTCGCTTCACCTTGAATTACACTGTAGTTCTGGACAAGTTGTAGATTTCTGAGAAGCTGTATCCCAGAACTCAATAGTTTGTAGCAGGTGAGAATATGTGCTGTTTGTATACTGCTCCTGGCTTCTTCTTGAAATCACTCTGTGACATATACGAGTGCTAGTTACATTTTAATGATAGAAAGTAAGATTAGGACATGGGAACCTAGCATGTCATTTGTGTGCCAGCAAACAAATGACATGCAAACAAAATTCACATTCAAGTGACTATTTAACTGAAAACATAGCTGATCAGTAAATCAACAACTGATAGTCACAATAGTGAATTTATTAAGCGGTACAGAAAGCTGAAAGCTAATTCAAAAGCTCATTCAAGCTACAGATAATGGCTTTTGTTTGTCAATTTAAAAACTTAAAAGTCAGACAGATAAATAATATGATAGTGTCTCTAGGGAATCAACGGATTAAATATAAAATATTACACAACAAAGTACACCTTATCGGAATAGCCTTTGCCTTGTATATCAAATTTTTTTTTGTAAGATCACCCTGCAATACGGAATGTACTCCAATATCTCACATTCATTTTCAAATTTATATTTAAGATGCTGTGTATCAGCCTAATTATGATTTCAGTTGCCTCTCTACTGGGGTAGATCAGCTTGGAAAGATCTGTGATAAGATAAGTGAGATCCCTTTGTGATGGCCAATAACATGAAAAGTTTTGTAATCCAATTTGACATGCTTGTGAAACAGTTCCCCTTCCAGTATTAAACTAATTTCTCTGTTCTTCTTGCTTGATTACTGCACCAAAGAATTAATGATCTGCTGCCACCCTGTATGCTACCTATTTTTTTTCACCCGTTAAAACCACCTATGGTTGTTATATCCTCATTGCAAACGCTAGGGATGTGATGAGTCCTTGCCAAATGTCTTGTTCTTGTTCATTTTCTGAGTTTCCCTATGCAGAGCCTCCCCACCAAAACTTCCCCTCTGTCAGTTCTCAAGAGACCATGAGATGCTGCTGTTGTTTTGTGCTTAGCTACTAGTTTTCTCTTCAGCAAATAGGCCTCGCACCTGGCAGGTTTTCTTCTCTGTCCAATGCCTCACTGGGCAAAATTGGCTTCAGCTCTTCTCCCCCAAGGGCTTCCTTTAGGGTTTTGTCTGCTGGACCACTGAGTTTCTCCTATTTACTGCCTCCGCCTGAGCTACAAAATATCATCTTCCTCTTCTGGAAGATGACTGATCAAGATGAGGCCTGATGTAACTTGCCTCTTGGATGAACATCAGACAAAGAAGATGCCATTCTGTACAGAACTTGTAATAATTGTGCACAGATGGTTACTTCTTCTGGAAAAATTGGCCATAGAATCTCTGAGGGGTAGGTGGAAACCTTGCTGAGAAAATTATTAATTTTTGTTTTCATCTTTGTGGGTGTGTGTGTGTGTGTGTGTGTGTGTGTGTGTGTGTGTGTGTGTGTGTCTCCAAGAACAAGAAGCTGAGAGATTCACAACTCCCACTCTCAGGACTTAAGATTGAAGAGAAATCTATTAACTCTTAACCTGTCACCACAACACTAGAGAAATAGTTCCCAATTTTTTCAACACAATCTCTCTCTCTTCTTAATTTATGAGAAAACTTCATGCTTCGCCGTTAAGCGAAAACTTCGAAAAGCGAAAAAGCGAAAACATCGAAAAGCGAAAATAAAAAACCTTTCAGTGCATTCTAATGGGCTTAAAACTCACCGTCCATATGGTGGCCATTTTCGCTGCCTGTATAGCAAGGAATCTGTCCCTAAACACAGCGGGGAGCCATTTTATTTACCTGGTGGCCATTTTGAAACCGCCGATCAGCTGTTATAAAACATCGTTTTGCGAAGAATCGGTTCCCGAAGCAGGATACTGATCATTGCAAAGCGAAATTCCCCCATTTAGACCATGGTTTTGCGATCGCAATTGCAATCATATTTAGACCATGGTTTTGCGATCGCAATTACAATCATAAAAAGATTGTCGTAATGCGGATTTGTCGTAATGCAGGGCAATCGTAAAGCGAGGCACCACTGTGCATGTGTTCTTAGATTATCATTTGTAGCCAGTGCTTTAAAAATAAAAATAAATTTGTAGAGTAACTTTATTAAGGTTGTTTAAACCCTTATGTGAGATACAGTCTAATTACATTAAACATGGCCAAAAACAAATTTTGTGGAATGACAGGCATGGGAAAATTAATGGGTCTAGTAATGTCATAGCTAGGTTTACTGTACTGTGTTCAAAATCTGTATAGCACTGTTGGGTTTCTTCCAGATTACTGTCCAGAGGCAGGGAGGTTGCACATGTGACATGATGTTACTTCTGAGGGATTGACACTCTATTAACTCGTGCCCACTGAAAAGTCCTATCATCATGTTCTTTTCTTGGAAACTCAAAACCATGGCTTGCCTCTGTTGAATCATTCCACCTCTTATTTGGTCTTCTTCTGTTTCTGTTACCTTCAACTTTTCCCAGCACTATTGTCTTTTCCATTGAGTGTTATTTTCACATCATGTACCCTAAGCATAATATCCTCAGTTGAGTAATTTTTGCTTCTAAGGAAAGTTCAAGCTTGATTTCATCTACCATCCATTTATTTGTCTTTGTGACAATCCATAGCCTCCTTAAAGCTCTCCTCCGACATCATATTTTAATTGATAATGTTTTTAATTAATTGTGGATTTTAGATATTTTTGTATGCAGTCTTGGGGTTTCCCACTAAGGGGGAAGGGTGGGATATAAATAAATAAATAACACCACCCCAGGTTGGCTGTCTTCACTGTCTGCCTTTCACATCCATATATATTAATCAGGAATATCACAGCATAGAATAACTTAATCATGATTTCTGCTGACATATCATCATCATCATCTTAGAACTGCAG